TTTTTTTTTTTTTGCAATTTAATGAAACTTAAGAGTATTTAGAAGACTTCGTCTCATCTTAAAACTTATTTGGGGGCATGCACCTTTCATGATGTACATTACTACCTAACATTTATCTTGTATTATTAAATAAACACCATACATAAATACTTAAGCATACAAATCGCACGTTTTTGCTTGAGCCTGTTTCACTGGAAGGCTATGCAACCAGGCATGTGGGAAGACCACTGCTGGGGGCAGTGCGAACCAATGAGGAGTTGAAGCCAAGGGTGGGATGGTCTGATTTGTGTTTTGTGTTGATGAAGGCTGGAGGACGGCAAGCCTGGACAGGATAAATGTGCCTTAGTTTAGGCAAGAGGGGATGAGACCTTGGGTTAAAAAGAGAGTGGATTTGAAAGATATTCAGAGGGTAAATTAACGGAAGCTTAGGATTTGACATCAGGTTGAAAGTCCATGAACTCACACCATAGGTTTGTTTCCTTAACTACCATTTCCCAAGCTGGCGTGTGTGAGTTTCAATCAACACGTGTGGGCTAAGTGAATGGAGGGAAAAATCGGGAAAATGCTAGACTCTAGAACACGGGTGGCTTGATTAACTGTTAATGCCAAGGTGAATGACGGTCATCTCTAAACTACAGCTGTCAGCAATCTACATCAAACCATTGTAAAGCAAAGTCTTGTTGAAACTGAAAAGCAACAAAGAAAAGAAAAAGAAAAGAAAAAGAAAATCCCAGAAAGGAAACCAACAATGACTTGATTTTTATAAATTTACTTAAAGACAAAAATCAACATGAAGAAAAGTAGAAAATTTCTTCTGAAAATGACCTTTGAGACACAGACATATCAGGATCAACCTTGGGTAGGGAAAGAGCATGCCTTAGATGTAGCTTATTAACTCAGAAGTGAGGGGCGGGAAGAAAAGGCAAACCTCACATATATTTCCAGTCTATTAATGCTTCTTTAAGAAGAAACCCACTCAATTGTGTAATATGGCCCTGTTTTAGACTTTCTGCATCTTGTTATGATTACTCAGATGAGATTATGATTTCAAACATATAAATGACAATAGAAAAACATTATTTTTCAAGATGCATTAAAATGTTTCACATATCTGGCATCTACTAACGGGTAAAAACAATGAATATATTCAAGGAAGGTTCTGAAAAGAAATCCATAGTGAGTGGGAGAATCTAGGATGCTTTCAGATCCTGCCCTAACCTCAAATCTACTTGGTATGCAGTCAATATTTGCTCATGATTTTTGGAAGGAAGGAAGGAAGGAAGGAAGGAAAGGAGGAGAGAAAGAAGGAAATCTACAATTCCATCTCTGAGGCTTCTAGGATAGTCAGGATAATGGGTATATCTAGGTATTCTGATATAGGTGGAAAATTCTTATATTCATAAGGTCCTGAATTGTGAAATGCATGATATGTCTCTTAAACAAAACTAAGCATTAGCTTTTGGTCACTAGCAACTACAAACCCACATGGACTTCTTGTAGGACCTGGACCAGGTATTTTAGCGAATGGCACAAATTTTCAATGCTGTAGGATCAATCTACTTTATGCAGATATTACACATATTATAAAATGTGTAATATTATATTACAAATTCAAATATTACATATTAAAAATTCAGCAGCCTTCAGAAAATATAAAAATTATCAGAAGGAAGAAGAGAAAATTGTTCTGAAATTCAATGATTTTCAATTAAGCCTCAACACCAATAAAAGGGAGAAAGCATCCCTTTGTGAATAGATCCAGTCCCTAGCCTGAGTATGAAATCACCATATTTTGACAGCATTTTTAAAACAGAAGGAATTGGGGTGCCTGGGTGGCTCAGTTGGTTGAGCAGCCAACTCTTGATTTTGGCTCAGGTTGATCTCACAGTTCGTGAGTTCGAGCCCTGAGTCTGTCTCCATGTGGGCAGCATGGAGCCTGCTTGGGATTTTCTCTTTCCCTCTCTCTGCTCTCCCCCTCTTGCTCATGCATGTGCTCTCTCTTTTTTGTCTCTCTCTCTCTCTCAAAATAAATAAACTTACAAAAAAAACAATCAGGAGGAATCATATTGGATCACTGAGTAGTAGCACTTTGAGGTAAAGCACACGAGCTTAAAACCCATGGACCAAAACACCTAAATTAAAGAATAACAGGTAAATGTGTTCCTTTTCTTTTATAGATGCATTAACTTTCTCCAGTGTCAAAGTTCATTTGGTATCCTATTTATACCAAATGAATTCCTTATTGCTTGAAGGAGTCACAGCTTCCTAGATTTATAGTTACTTGTGACTTGGAGGTTATCTATTAAAATAACCACTATAAGGTAAAAATCCCTTCAAAGGCATCCCTGCTGGAGGATCAAAGAGTCACTGCCCTCCAAGAGGTGAGTAATTTACTCCACATGCCTGAAAGGCTCCTGGTCTGTAGTCTCTCTGTAGATCGGACTTTTTGTGAAAAAAGGAAAAGGCTATGTATTTTAACGTTCATGGAAAAATGGAGTTTCACTTCCTGTCACGAAGCACACTGTCAGAAAGGATGTCTGTGGACTGATAAATACAGTTTTAAAACGATCACAATTATAAGTTGAAGGTTTTGCTGTACCAAGTGTGAATTAAAATTTACATTTTTCTGATTAAGGGAAAAAAGGGATGAAAACAAAGTTTCGAATATGTCAACATAATAATGCTTACATTCCACTTAACCTAATTTAAAACAAAGAAAACAGGAGATTGGGTGCAATAAATGCGATTTACAATAATATTAAAACTTCTTGCTCAAAACAATCTGATGTAGTTAACAGGAGACTGCTGTTTGCTTACCTCTTCGTAAACCTTCTTGGCATTGTTATTATCTCCTATCAAGAGGTACCCCACTCCAAGGTCGTTCTTTAAAGAAGTATCATCAGGAAATAGTTGAACTAACTTCTGTAGGGTAATCAGGGAACCCCTCATATGACCTGATTTGGTAGGAAGAAACAAACAAACCAACCAACATCAATAATATATCTTTGTATTGAGAGTGTGAATCACAAGAGACTACTCAATAGAGCCCTGAGACCAGCTTAAATCTGACCATACAGTTTTAATGACGGCCTCTTCAGCTTTCATCATGCAATTGCGATGATTATCAACAACTTCTATAAGTAGATAGTAAATGTAATATTGATTATACACATTTTAAAGACATTCTCATTTTCTAAATCCGTCAACATTTTTCTTACGTCGAATTCCCTCTTTGAAAAGTTTTATCAATTCCTTGTAAAAAAAATGTCTCACTGGTGTATCTTTGGTTTATCATGATTAACTTCAAGATTATGAATAGAGAACGGATAAAAAGTCTAACAGATTTCGAGTCTAGCACCTTGTATGGAACTTGAAAAGGCACTGAGGTACACCTCTGCAGCTGCTTCCAAATAAGACTGTCCTCATGTCTAGGTAACGAACAACCTAGTCACGGAGCGAAGGAGACATCACCTGGTATTATGGGACCCTCTGGTGGACGATAGGATACTATGCACAACAGGCATCATGAAAACCCTAGTTCTGGTCGATTTTTAAGGCTGTCGGATGGAAATTTAAAATTTCTGGGGCCAACTGTCACTACTCCTCCACACAGGAATAAACTGAATATGGGAAAATGTGCAAAAGACGGCTAGTATACATGACAAAATTAACTCCCTAAAGGGCTCAGTCGCCCACAAACGAAGTATTTATTAGCCAAGAGTATGATGGGATGTCAGGCTAATGCAGTTGTACGTCCTGCTAACAGTTAACCTGTTCGGCCTAAAACATCACCAGTTTATCCCATGGCCTTGCCCCTCTGCCGGCCAATCTTGAATGGATGTGCTGAGCTATTCATTCCCTCACTAACAAATCTGACTCCAGTCTTCCCTTCGTCCATACCTGCCCAACTGAGATGCGTCTGTTTCTTCTGCTCCTACAGTTCCCCTGTTGACCACTGCAAAGGCCCAGATGGAAAATCCCTTTGGCTACCATCTCTGTTCCTTCCATGCTGCATCACCCAGCTGTGTTCCACTGTGAGTAAACTTCACCACCCTGTCACCTTCAACAACATCTTCTCCCTGTAATCCTCTCCTCACAGAGCCTCCTCTCGTGAACTTGCCTTATTCTCATTTGGGGAAAAAGACTATATTCAAGTATTGAAGGACGGCTGCTTAGAAGGGGGTTAGATTTAGTTGTAGTCAGTCTTTTTCCACTGGGGCCAGAAACAAGGTGAGGCAAGTGAGATACTCAAAGCAAAGTTGAAGAGGCTGCCAAAAATGCAGTAATCAAGATGAGCGATACTTTTATGCATTCTTTCTAAAAAAATCCACAATGAAAGAAATATCAACATTTTAAGGGCAGACTAAGTGAATAGTGCCTAACAGAGCCATATTGGAGACTGAGGCAAGAAAAACACTCAGTAATACTGATTTTATGCCTAAGGCAAGTGCCTCCAATGAGTGGCACCCTTGCCTTTTCCATCCTGTGTGGGTGCCATATGCTTATCTTCTTCTGGACTGGCTCTTCTGAATAGAAGTCTAACAGGCCTTCTAGTTTCTAATCATAACTTGGGTTCTGTTCCTATCTGATAACAGGGTCAGCTGGCTTCCAATATTACTTATATGAGCCTCTCCTAGTGACATCAATAATTATTCATGTAACTTACCCAGCCACTAGCACCCACCTGAGCAGTTACACTTGGCCTAGATTCTTCCATCTGGTTTACTGATGACAAGTTAGGTGGGAGAGAATTACAAGCCTGATAATAATGAAGTTAGGTTAGAGCTAGTCTTATCTGCCTTTGGCATGGGAACCTGGGTCAGAGAGGATGCTTTATGCTGCTCTTTTCAAAGCATTTGCAAATTTACCTAGTGGTTTTAAGAAGTTTTTTTTTGTTTTTTTCCTATCATTTCCCTTGGTATGGAGTCAAACTTTGCAGGCAAAATTTTTAGTGCCTGGAACTCCTAATATTCCCTCTATAAAAACTGTTGCACTTATAACTTCAACCTCCAGGAATCAATTTGTTATGGTTAAGAGAGAAGAGTCTGGCACCGCAGGAAGAGTTTTTGATTCCAGACCTATTAGTTTATTAGCTATGATTCTTTAGGCAAATTATCCAACCTCCGAGCATCCCATCTGCCTAGCTTTAAAATGGGGTGGGGGGGTGGGGGGGGAAAAGGTGGTAAAATACCATCTGTATCTTTCTAAGTATTAAGGTTAGGACTGCCATTTCCGTCTGGGACACTTTCAGGTAAATTATGCGAAATCAGTTGTGAAAGTCAGGTTCCCTTCCAGGTAACTACACTCTTCTAAGAATATACAGCATGGCATTTGCTGTTGAATTAACTCTTACTCCATCTTACCCAGAAATTGCTGTCGGTCTGAGCGCCGCTTCAAGGTCAGCTTCAGCAAGTCTGTGGGGACATCGGGCAGACTGGCCACCTCCTGGTAGGTTTCGATGGCCCCACGAAGCACCTCATTGCTCCTTCTTTTCTCGGCCAGATCGTCTTCACACTAGAGGAAGTCCCCACACTGGATAAATGTCCCATGACAAGATATATTTGTAATCACCCAAAATATGCATGCAAACTTAATTTCTGGACATGCATCAAAAGCAATCTGAGACACATTAAAATTTTCTCCTTTTCAAGCGATTCAAAAGCAAACCAAAAAAAGCAAGACAACATGCTATCTAAGTAACACGAAGACCGGTTAGCTATCAAGCTGCAGAGGAGGAAAAATGCCATCAAAGCAAGAGGAATTAATATACGCTGGGCTGATGGAGATCTGTATCATGTTATATATTAACATTACACAGACAGAGCTCCAGTCCGTACTTCCTACTGTCTCAGTAGTTTGTGTGTTCACTCATTCATTCAACAGCTATTACCCGAGAGCCACTTGGCAGGCAAAATAAACAACACAAAGCCCTTTTCTCATTCTGCTTCATTATGAAGAAAAAGACAACATACAAATGAAAGTACCATGTGCCTGGCAGCCATAAATGCTGTGGGTCAAAAATGCAGCCGGCTCAGGAGTGCTGGCCCCGGTGTGGTTGGGAAAAGTTAGTTTAGGCAGGGTGAGCAGGGATGGCCTGACAGAAGTGAGGGAGTGAGGCATGAGGATATCCGGAGGAAGAACATTCCAAGGCAGAGAAAACAGCAAAAGCAAGGCCCCGCGGGAGAAGTGACGGGTGGAGGAAAGGCAGGTGCAGGCGTGGGGCAAGGAGGAGACTAGTAGAAGGGTGATGGTCAGGCAGCGAAGAACCTGGCAAGCTATTGCCAATTCCACTACAGCACCTCCATGTGAGATGGAAAGGCACCAGGGTTTTTTTTTTTTTAATGTTTATTTATTTTAAGAGAGAGAGAGAGAGCACGCACACATGAACAGGGGGAGAGGCAGAAAGAGAGAGAGAGAGAGAGAGGGAGAGAGAGAGAGGGAGAGAGAATCAATCTCAAGCCAGGCTCCACCCTGTCAGCATGGCCCAAAGCAGGACTTGATCTCATGAACTGTGAGATCATGACCTGAGCTGCAATCAAGAGTTGGACGCTTAACCGACTGGGCCACCTAGGCGCCCCCACAACAGGGGTTTTTGACATGATCGAAAGGACCACACTGGCAGTGGTATGGAGAACAGACCGAAAGAGTGGCAGAGAAGCACAGAGGCCAGTGAGGATGCTCCAGTAGGAACCCAGACAAGGAGAGATGATGACGGTTTGGATGAAGGTGGTAGGAGATAGCTGGATTACAGATACATTTTGAAGGTCAGAGCCAAAAGATGTGCAGATGGTCTGAATGTGGCAGAAGAGGAGGGAGAGAAGTCAAGGATGAACTCCAGGGTGTTGGCTGGAGCGATTACCAGACAGAACTGCCGTCCTCTGAAAAAGGGAGGAGAGGGCAGGAACAGGTTGGTAGGCATTCGGAATCAGGAGTTCTGTTTTGGACCTATTGAACTCAACACTGATTAGACACCCAAGTGGAGATACTGGATAGAAAGGTACATATAGGAGTCTGGGGTTCAGGAGAGAGGTTGGAAAGACAGGGAGGACCAGCAAAAAGCACAGAGAAAGAAAGGTAAGGAGAAAATAACAACAAAGAAGTGACAAAGTGACACAAGGTAACAAGAGGGAGCGATCAATCATGTTCGAAGTGGCCATCAGCTTGGGCATCTTGGTCATGATGCTGGATTGGGCACTGTGGCACTTCTGATGAGCCTGGTAAAAGCATTTTTTATGGGACAACTGGGGACCCGTAACAGAATGGAGCAGGATCAGAGGAAACCAGGAGGGAAGGAGGTGCACACAACCCTTACAGGGAAGCAGAGAAATGGGCCAGTAAGTGGAGAGGAATGTGGAGACCAGGGAGAGATTTTTTTTTTTTTTTAATAATGGCAAATATTACAGCATGTTTCTAAGTTGATGCAAAAGAGTTGGTAGAGAGGGAAAGTGTGATGATGCAGGAAATGCAAAAATCAGAATGATGTCCTTCAGCAGGTGCAGAGGCTGGGAAAGGGGACCAGAACAATTCATCCATGCGAACAGGAGAGAAGGCGGAGCATATGGCAGGAGGGGAAGGGAGGCTGTTAGTGCTGTAGTGGGATCATGCAGAAGTTCTCTTTGGATACTTCCATTTTCTTAGTGAAATAAGCAAGAGTCTTCGCTGGAGATTGAGAGTGGGGAATGAAATATGAGAGGGATAAAGAGGAGAATGTGTAAAATGGTAGTTAAAATCCCATCAGATTTAGTACACTATAGTTCAAAGATTACCATTTGAGGAAAAATGATACCAGTTAGAGGCTAAAAGTGGCGTATAAAGGGTTTTCTCAGAATATCCTATTTAACATGTTTACCTTTTCTAAATGAAGTGTGGGCTGCAGTCAATATATAGTTGTCTGAAGAACCAAAATGAAGCACAACTCCGTAATTTGAGGGCGTGATAAGAAAACGACCCACCCTCCCCTGTTCCAAATCAGAACTAGTAAGAATTGGCACAAATTGATGAAATATCTGTGGAGAACTTTTCAGAAAATATCACATCAAAGAATAACTTGTTCTGTGTACTGATTAGGTAAGTGTCCCAAGATGATGAGGACTAGAACTGAAGCAGTAGAGAGAGAGAGAGAGAAGTGGACAGATTTATGATTTTTCTAGATGAAAATTTCCCGATGAAAAAGGGGCAGTTCACCCTAAATTGATAGAAAGAGCTTCAGAATACACTGCTATCTACCTGTTCATATCTGTAAGTGGTCTGTCTCCATTATAGACTTATCTACCAGGTGAGCAAGTCCAATGTCAATGACCCACACTGGTCATCCTGCCCCTATGGCCTTCGGTATATTCACATACTGGCTTTTCTGTTTAGGCATCAGTTTCCTCTGAGTTTGGCTATGGTGAGTTCACTCCCCAAAACATGATTATTCATAGATAACTTCCAGAATGACAGAGTCCTGGAGCTGAGAGAGCCCTTTTGAGACCATGCAGCTCAGTCTCTTCAAGCTACCAAACAGATCCTGGATCCGGAGGGTCTCTTTGAGGTTGGCGGAAGGAGAAATGTCTACCAAGATAATCCTTCTTTAGAGAAATTGAAATAAATATCTAACTAAAACTCAATCTGAAAAGACAGAAAGATGATAAAGTTTATATACCTTGTTCCCTCTCCTCCACCTATCCCAAGTTCCTTCATTTTAATGAGGTAAAAATTTCTTACAACTTCCAGAATTGGGAAAATATCAGTATTAAAATGGCATATACTTCTTAAAATCTCTTGAATGAAACTAATAGACTGCTTTGAAAATCAAAATTGTACAGATTTATTTCTATCAGCTTAGCATCTGTACGTAAAATGGTTTGGGCAGGTACAGAACATTTGTTCTAGGATGTTAACATCACAAAGCCTTTTGTTGACTTGAAATAATTCAACCATCCAAACTTCCTAGGAAACATGTCATTTTCTGCCTCAGAGGCATTAATGGTTTGTGTAAGATAATAAAATGAACTGAATTTATAATTTAACATTTTGTATTGATATTCAGGGAACTTGGTCAAAATTGATTTTCATGGTGATCCAAAGAATAACATAGTATCAGTGCTGCTTCAGAAATGATGGATATTATAGTTTGTATTTAACTTAACGTTGCTGAATTAAAAAAAAATTGTTGGGATATTCCCACAAAATTGTTTAATTTGCTAACAAAGAATGAAAAATTCATCATTTATTCCTCCCTATGGAATCCATCTTCTTTCAAATTCTTATTTTTAAAACTCCTAGGCATTTAAAATTTCTTTTAAATTACTCTATTAAAATTTAATTTACCATGCCTAAGTTTTGCTTAATACCATATTAACATTAGTATCAATAACACCTTGTAGCAGAATAGTTTAGGGACAAAAAAATATCGCCTGAGGCCAAAATCTCAAATTCCTACTGTTAAATAAAGATACGAATCCAACAATCACATGTGCGAAAGTACTGAGTTTATTTAGACTCTGGCACCCACAATCACCATCACGTAAAAAGAAAAATTCTAAACACAAAGAATTTTTGCCACAATTAAATTACATTACCATGTGTATCCATCATTATTCTCTCTAGTTAATATGCTTTCTTAATCAAATGACTGTCAATACTGGTAACAAAGCCCATCACTTATTTGAACAGGCATCATCTTTTGGTAATGAACACATTCTGTCTTGCTTAACACCAATGAATTTAGCAATTTTGGAGGATGACTGACCAAATTAATTTACAAAAATGATATAATTGCTGTCTACTACCCCTGGTCTGTACCATGGACAGGGGGAACTTCTTTGCATTAATTTTTCACAAACTTAATTTATTAAAATTTAGTAAGTGAGTGTTTAATAGAAAGATAAGAATTTGAGTAACTGGGTCTCAAATGGTGGCCGCCTTTAGTTCAAAGCAAAACCTGTTTGTTTTATCCACAGATGTGTCAGTTCCCATGTGAGTGCCATATACAAGTCACGGCACTGACTCCCTCCAAAGGGGTGATGTCAGGTTCTCCTTGGTCTGGAAAGTTTTGGTATTGTGTCCCAGTAGGGCTGAGAATCTCATCCCACCAGGCGGGACTGTGGGAGTTTTGCTGCTTGACACATTGTGTATCAGCCCTGGCTTTTATCCTGAACTCCAGACATCATAAATTCAATGTCTCCTTGCCATGTCCAGTTGAATGTCCGACAGGCATCACAAAGATTACAGGATGAAAAGTGAATTCTTGACTTCATTCCTACCTCCCCAATCTGTTCCTCTCCCAGTTTTCCCTGTGAGTAACCAGCACTCTCTTTCCTCACCTGGCTGAACCAAAAATCCAGGACTCAAGTCCTGTCTCCCTCTGACCTGTACACCTAAGCCAACATTAAGCCCTCCCCAGCCATTTCCCTATCTCCACGCCACTGTCCCTTGAGTATACCTGGAATACTGTCCTATGCTTCTTTGCTCCTACTTTTGTTCCCTTAGTCTATTCCCCAACCGGGAACCAAAACAATCTTTACGAAAAAACAAGATGCCCAAGTCCATGCATAAAGCTGGGGCACGGAAAATACCATCCGTGAGGCCCCGGCCTCACCTGTGCCGCCTCACCGTCTCTCAGCTTGCCCTTCTTGCCGTTCTGGAGCTTGTTCTGCCAGCATCGCTTCCCTGTATCACAGCCTTTGGCCTAGCTGTTCCCTCGGCCCGCACAGCTCCCTCAGTAACCTTGTCACATTTCAGCCACTTGCCACCTTGCTAGAGTGGCCTTTTCTGATCAACTTATCTAAAGTGCTATCTGCCCTGTCGTCCTCAAATCACATCACCTGCAGCCAAAAAATCTTAATAGGTATGCTTTTCTTTTCTTTATGATATGTATTATATAAGATGATCTAATATAGTTATGCTTAATGCCTTATAATATGCTTAAATATATGTTTGTTTATATAGTTACTCATGGCCTTGCTCAACTGTCACCTCCCGGGTAGACTTTTCCCTGACACCCTATCCAACATATCAACTCCCTCCCACATCGTATGCTGTGCGGTTTTTGGGGGTTTTTGTTGTTGTTGTTGTTGTTTAGGTTTTCCTTAGCCCTTACCACTAACAAGCATTATATCTTATCTTGTCCTAGGCTTCGCCATCACAATGACAAAACTATGTTTTGCCGAGGGGTTCATCTGCAGGGCCCAGAACAGGGCCTGGCACAGAGTGGGCTTTCTCTAAGTAATTTTTGACTAGGTAGCCTTCAAAATACCTTCCACGGGAATACAAGATCCACAAGGACAGAGACCTCTAGAGTGTTCATTATGATAATCCCAGGGTCTAAAAAGAGCATGTGGCATCTGGTGGGTGTATGCAATTATAGATGAATGTGGACACGCTTCACAAAACAAAGAGCTGGAAGATGTCAGAGAAGAGTCAGAGAAGAAAGGAGACGAGGGAATGGAGGTAGGTAGGGAGAAGGGAGCTGGTGAGAAAGGAGTCAGCGGAAAGAAACCACAGCGAAAACAAAGTACATTCCACTTTATATTTTCACGTCTTTCCTAAGCACACTTGCAGCCTCTAGTTACAAAACAGGTTCTTAAAGCTCCGAGGAGCCTTCAGTGAGCACTTTGAGGAATGGGGCACGACAGTGACGGGACATTGAGGACAATAGCATTCTTCTTGATCTTCTTTTGAAAACCAGAGAGAAGTCCGATGGAGGGAGGACAGGAAAATGTTGTTCAATTCACCAGGCCACAATAGCAAGTTAATTGTCTCCTTTACAACAGTATTTTTTGCTTGACTTTACACATATGCATGAGAAATGGATTCTATACATAAGTTACAAGAGAAAAGAGAAGTGCAAAATAGTGGGCAGTGAAAGAATGACACAGAATACAAACACCAAAAACATTTTCTACAGAGGAGGGTTTTCGAATACCTGTGCCTTTCCGTATCTCGCCCGTGGACTCTGAGGGTATTTGCGAACCAGTTCTTGGAATGCACTCAATGCTTCCTCAATTTTTCCCTGTTAGGAAGAGGCAGTTACATAAAGACGGCAAGTTCAGATGCATAATGTTATTCAGTGTGTGTGTGTGTGTGTGTGTGTGTTTTAAGAAGGCTCCACGCGCAGTGTGGGGTTTGAACCTACGACCCCGAACTCAAGGGTCAGATGCTCTACCGAGTCACCCAATATGTTTTTTTTTTAATATTCACCAGCTAATGTTGTCAAAACTGCCTGGACTCCATTTTGAGTCTAAAGACAGTTTTACCAAAGATTTTTAAAACATTAACAAGTATGGCAACCGTACAAGTAAAAATGAACATAAATGCACTTTATTTCTTTTAAAAACAGAAACCTGGCAAATGATGTACTATAAGTCTTTTTTTTAAAAGTTGCACCTTCCCTCTAGATGCACAGTTCCTGTGGGCATTAGTTCTTCATTTTCTTTTCAACAGAAGCATAGTTGACACCCAGTCTGCCATTGGCTTCAGATGTACAACACAGTGATTCAACAACTCTACGTTACGCTACGCTCAGCACAACTGTAGCTACCATCTGTCACCAAACACTACAAAATCCCTGACTATGCTCTTGAAGACAATATTTAGGTTTTAAGTTGGGGGAAGAATACTGCTGGCAGCTGGAATGTCCTGGGGTCTGCAAGGAGAAGTCTGAAGCACCTGTTGGGGTGGGGGTGAAGCCTGCAGGTTGAGAAGGCCCCCTGTCATGGTACCGGTCACCCACTGGACATCAGGATTGATTTGGCTCCTCTCCAATCAATTTTGAGGGTTTTGACTGGGAAAACTCACTGACTCTGGGTCATGTGACCCCTCCCCGGAGCGCATGTGGGCCCTTAAGAAGATGGCCCAAGCACCTGTGATAAGTCTCTGACCACCACCACAGGAAAAGGAACAGAGGGTGAGGAACCCTCCCCCCACCACACTCCACCCACGGCCATTCCAGGGGGTAACACACGTCTCCTGGTTTCCAATGGACGGATGCAGGTCGAGGATGTTGGGAGCCATGGGATAGAGACAGATTTTTTGAGATGAACTTTGGGAGGCACTTCAGCTCCCTATACACTGGTAAACCCACTCATTCCTCATCTAAACGGAAGCGTGCTGTGGTTTGTATGTTTTGACGTTCACCGAGTGAGTTTTCACACAACAAAGTGTACCTCTCCAACGTGGCTGTGCACAGCAAACGGCACCTCCTACCCCGCTGTTATTTACACCCACTTCGGACAGACTTGACTAGAGGAAGGTCGGGCAGTGTTCATATTAAAGGTACGTAAGATCAGTTCTCTAGGCAGACGTTCTCGAAGAAAGAGGTTTTCACTTCCTCTCACGTGCCCGTAAGTGGTGCTGGGGGGCTGGTGGGAAATACATGCACAGTGGAGCGGCTACGAGGGCCAGTTCCGGAGCCAGACCGACTGATGTGAGTCTGCTCTCCGCCACTTGGAAGGCGCATGACGTATGGCAAGTTACTTACGACTCTGCCTCAGGTGCCTGGCCTGTAAAATGGAGACGAGGGTACTCGACTCGGCTGTGGGGGTGCTGTTTCGGTTAAGTCTCCTAACAGTGACGAAGCTCTGGCAGACCCTGCACGGAGCATGTGCTGTGTGGGGGATGTGTGTGCAGCACAAGATACCGGGGCCCAGCCCAGGGAGGCCTCGGACCCGAGAGGCAGGTTCATGCTGACAACGGGGACTTGGCTGTAGAGATCAATCGGGCCGGGAACACAGACTCCACATCACATTTAGTGTCAGAAAAGTCTGTATAGCTTTTTAAAATATGCTGCCCTCTCACGGTATTAATTTCTTTAAAGATTTTATTTCTTAAGAGCAGTTTTAGACTCATGGCACAATTGAGAGAAAGTATAGGTTTCTCATATACCTGCTACCTCCCCCATGATTAACATCCTGCACCACAGTGGTACATTTGTTACAACTGATGAACCTGCCATATCGAAATCGCCCAAAGTCTGTAGTTTACCTTAGGGTTCATATTGTATATTCTGTTGTATATTCTGTGCGTTTGAACAAATGTATACGGACTGTATCCACCATTATAGTATCATACAGATGAGTTTCACCGCCCTAAAAATCCTCATCCCTCCCCCCACCCACTTTTAAGGGATGAAGGGTTCATGTTAAATATCTTTTTCTGTGTGACTTTCTTGTAACTGCCCTGTATTATTATTATTATTAGAGGAAGAAGAAGAAATAAAGAACAGAAGATAAAATAAAATAAAACAAAATGAAAATGAAATGAAATGAAATGGCAGTTTGAATGAATGAATGAAATGAAATATGATGATGAAATGAATTGAATAGAAAATGAAGGAGGGAAGGAGGAGGACGGTGAAATGAGAAGGGTAATGAAAATATGAAAATGAAATGGAGGAGGAGGCTGAAATGAGGAATGAAGGAAAAAAAAAAAAAAAAAATGCATTATGATGAATCCAGATGTGAAGATTCCAGAAATATTATATATTGAACCAACTGATTCCAAGTAGCTTCAAAATGCAGGCAGGTAAATTCTTAGGTCTGAAGGTTTGGAGCTTGAGGCCCTGCCTTCTGAGTCCTTGGCTCTGGCTTCAGAGCCCTTGTCTCTGGCCTCTGGGTCCAAGACTCTGCCCTTGGAGTTATCTTTCCTTTCTATCAAAAGGGTGGTTAGTGTTATCAGCCTGGTTCTTGCCTGTAGAATTTCAGGACTCTGCAGCCTTCTTTCAGTTTGTCCTCTGTCCCTTTCAGGTCGAGGTGGTCCTCCTGGTATAAGATTCTCAAAAACCTTGTGGATCTTTTGTGTATGTCACAGGGATTCACACCATTAGACAAGAGTCACGGCCACAGACCTCTCCAGGATAATCCCATCTCTATTCCTGGCTTCTGCTGGATGGCTGAGTAGATCTAAGAGCCACACATCCACTCTCTTCAGGAAAAGGAGCCCTCGGCCTTCTCTCCAGACTACCCTTTCTTAACAATGAACTTCCTACTTGTAGCATCTTCTGCAATCTGGATAGACTAAGAAATCTCCCCGAACTGTCATGTCCTGGCTCTTTTTTCTCTAATGGTTTCTTCCTTAATTATCACTTTCCTCTCTTATTTTACGAGAAGCAGCAAAAAAAGAAATCAAGCCACATCCTCAACACTTGGCTTGGAAATCTCCTCAGCTAAATATCCAAGGTCATCGCTTACAAGTTTTGCTTTGCCCAGGCCAGTAAGATGTAATTCAGTTAAGCTTCCTGCTACTCTCTAGCAAGGACTGCCTTTCCTCCAGTTTCAGGGACCTGTTCCTCATTTCCTTCTGGGCTCTGGCCAGAAGTGCCTTTAACAGCTCTGTCAACATGCTGTTTGCAACGATAATGTGCATTCTCGAAGATTATCGATAAACCTTTCTCTTCGGTGCTCCTCACTTCCTCTGAGAGCCTTCCCAGAAGCAGCTTTCGCATGCATATTTCTACCAACAGTCTGCTTCGGGCAATCCAGGCTTTTGCTCTCATACCTCTCAAAACTCTTTCAGCCTCTACTCCTAACCCAATTCTCCAAAGCCACTTTCACATTTTTAAGTATTTGTGACAGGAGCAACCCGCTGTCCAGCACCAAAATCTGGATTAGTTCTCTATAGCTGCTGTAACAAATTACGAGAAACTTGATGACTGAAACAACAGAAATTTATTCCTCAGTGCTGTGGGGAACAGAAGTCCAAAATTCGTTTCACTGGGCTGAAACTGAGATGTTGTTAGAGCCATGTTTCCTCTGGAGGTTCTGGGAGAGAATCTGTCCCTTGCCTCCTGACAGCCTTTCTTGACTGTGGATGCATTACTCCAGTCTTTACTTCGGTTTTCACATTGCCTTCTCCTTTCTGTCTCCTATGTCGTCTGTATTCAATTTCCCTCTGCCTCTCTCTTATAAAGACACATGTGGTTGCATTTGGGGCCCAACTGGATAACCCAGAATAATCTCCCCGGTTCAAGATCCTTAACTTACTCATATCTGCAAAGACCCTTTCTCTAAATACAAGATCCAGGGATTAGGACGTGGGTATCTTTTGGGAGGACTATTTTTAGCTTTACCACATGCATTATGTAACTCAAATTGCAAATGTTGAGGCTATTTTTGTGAAAATCATGCTAAATGCACCATTACGCTTTAAAACAGAAATAACAATGGAAATAACAATCTTCGTAACAAATTTGCTAAAGTATTTTGTTCCTTCTAGACACTCCCTTAGTTGGTCATCAGGCTTGACCTAGGCATCCTTGCGATCCCCTTAAGACAGAGACCGTGTTGCTTTGCTAAGGGCTGACAAAGTAATTGTGTTTGCTTTTGGTCTGAAAGAATTTCCCTTCCCCAGAATCTCCTAACGCTATTATGCATTTCTTATTTAAAAACTCAAAAGCAAGATACAATGCTTGTGAAGAACTGCCTAAAAATCATCTCTTTCAATATAGCTTACATTTTCTCCCAGGACCAAAGCCAGTTCATTGGAGAGACATGTACTTGGGCCCCGCTGTGCTGGCATGAGGCCAATGGGCCATGCTGAAGGACATTAAGACCCCCCCCCCCCCCCCCCCCCCCCCCGCCCCACACACACACAAAGATGTGTTGTAGAATCCGCTGGTGTGATGTTAGGGGGGAAGCTGTGCCATCCATCAGTGCACCCTTTATGAAGATCCACAGCAGAACGTTTCTCTCCGGACTTGGTAGAGGACAGCTACTCTGATGAACACCATTAATCTTACAGGACGATGCTATTCCCCGTGTCTTCTGCCTACAGTGTACTTCATTCATCCCAAGCACCATTTAGAGCCTGGGATGTAAGCTTTCATGTGCTGGCCTTACTTACTCTGGCCTTATTACGTTTTCCATTTTCCCTCTCTCTTTTCACTTAAAATACAGTAACAGTAAGTGACTCCAGCAAATAAAAGAATCTTTCAGTATAGCACTTCAAATTCTTTTTTTCTAGGGATAAGGAAGAGTTTCAAGCAATACATACTTCTGAAAAATAGAGGTATTTTAAGCAATACTTTTGAAAAATAGATGATTGAAATATGATCTGATCTATGCACTTTGGATGGAAAAATAAAGTGACCTCATACTTTCATGTAGCACAGTACTCAAAGCTAGACTGGACCTCCTCCGTCTAGGACATACCTCAGCATGGGCTACTCCAGCACGTCCAGTCGCATCATTTGAAATATCAGCCATAAAAATAACCTTAAAAAATTACGCTGATAATGCAGCCAATAATATGGATCCCTGCTATTTCAGAAGCAAGAACTGTAGCTATTTCTTCCTCCGTTATTTAGTCTGTTAGAAATTCAGGGTGCTTCTGGAGGAATGAATGATAATTTCTCCAAATAAGCAAGAACCAGAGAAGACCCCATGGACTGTTCCAGCACTTTTATGTCCCATTGATGTATCTGCCCCTTGGTAACTGAGCTCTTTACCATTCATTAGAATTACATAAAAACCCTTCTCTAAAGTTGTTCCTTTGTCCTTTATCCCAAAAGTCACCTGTGAAATAGACACCCCACATTTTCACACCTGGCATTTAGCAAAGAGCAAGTGGAGGATGCCAAAGAAAGTGACAGAAAATGAAGATTCCCACTTCATTTCTATTAAGAAATGCAAATTTCCTACAAATAGTAGAGGGCTTCCTCTTATAAAAGCCACACAAGACAGACTCAGAAATCATTCCAGCGGTTAAACTTAAGGGCAGTGAACAACAACCTGGCCGCGATATTCTTTGACGTGACTACATGTTTATCAGCTGCTAAGGAGGGTAAGCCCTCCTTGGCTTGGGAACCTTGTCTAATACTAGTTACAGAAGTCTCCGTGCTTACTGGTATGGTTCCGATAAACATGTGGGAAGCACATTCTTGTCCCACTTCAGTTCCTAACTTGGGTGCTTTTGTCGTTGCTTATTTACTTACAATCCCCCTGTCCTATCTTTGCCGCCAAAAATGTCTACTTGATAAAAAAAGCATTTACAGGAAAACTAATGATCATTACGCAAAGTCTAATTCATGTACAGAGTAGAGAAAGAGCAATTTCCACGGCAAACAAGTAGATGATTAAGTGAAGGTGTTATTAAATGCATTATTATAAGTGTTTGACATGATAATTAGATGAAGAATATGACTAAGAGCACAAGTAACTTCAATCTAGTGTCAACTTCTTTTTTTAACTGCAATATCCAGAAACAAATGCAAGTAGTATTTCAAATTAACGGGTAACAACACAAACCACATAATAGTCTCCCTGAAAACTGCAGGTGCATGGGATTAACCCCAAGGGAGAAGAATGTTAAACCCAGTGTCATTTCACTTAACAGTAACTACCCTAAGAGTACTGGACTAACTTACTTTCTTTTTGCATTGAGATGCTACCCAATCAAAAACTTTTAGAAAGAGTACTTACTATTCTCATTTTTTTAAATAAGGAAACTGAGGCTCAGAATGGCCAAGTGTTCTGTCCAAAGCCACACAACTAGCAAGTGGTGGAGGGAGGCTGACCTCAGGTTAGCCGACCTCAATGTTAGTTCTACTTCTGTTTGGTCATACAGCCATGATTCTTCCTTCTACTCGACTCATTTCACATGGAATGCTGACGTTCTTGGGGAAAAATCCACTCTATTCAAGGGCTGTTTCTGTTGTTGTTGTTGTTGTTGTTGTTGTTATTATTATTATTATTATTATTATTTTAACAATGCAAGAGTAATGCCTGAATTTATCTTCATTGCACATTTCTCCACCAGACAAAAACATCAACATACCCTTTTACGAAGTTTTTCTGCAGCGTCAAGTTCAGCTTTAATAGTCTTATCAAATTTATTTAATAGTTTAGGCTTCTTTTTCTTAACTGAAAGAAAAAAGAGGTTTTATTTTGTATTTTTTTTTTTGTCTAGAAATAATTATTAAGAATAGTGATTTACAAGTAATGAGAAACCTACAGCTGCAGGAGCAAACCCACTCCCGGCTCACCTCTTCCCACCCCCATCCCTAGCACGACACCGTCAGTAGCTGCCAAGGGAGGTACCGCCGCCCTTACTTCGACGGTCACAGGTGTTCCTGGGAGACTGGGTGGGTACTTGCATCCTGAAACTCACGAGGGATACTGGCCTAGTTTCCAGAATAAAAATGGGAGGTGTGAGTTATGAACTCTTATTGTCAACTTTTGGGCTAAGTGCAAAAGACTGCTTAAAATAGCTTTTGAATATTTCTGCAATGTTTCTGATCAGATACAGATAAAAATGGGAAAGTCAGTGGGAAATCTCAAGGGAGCCACCGCTAACAGAATTTCATAGTCTAGTGCTCAAGGTTCTTCCATTGTATCATGGATACCACTCCAGCCATATTCCATACTTCAGCCAAACAGGACCACCCTGTGTTCCCCAAATAAGCTCTGTGCCATTTCGGATACTACTTTCTCTAAGTAAAATGGCCCATTTTTTACCTTTGTCAGTTGAAAATACGCTCATCCTGCAACAATTAGCTCTAAACTACACTCTTCATAAGGCTTCTCCAAGTGTCACTCACGTAAGTGCTCAGTTCTGCCTCCCTCATGTCATTTCCCCTCTGGCTTAGAGTCCACAGCACCCTGCATCTCTGTCTTTCATGGCCCTTCTCCTATATGACTTGTACTATTTTAAGATTTTTTTAAAACTTTGTGCCCAGCGTGGAGCCCAATGCGGGCTTGAACTCACAACCCTGAGATCAAGACAAGGCACCATGTCTTAGATGCAGACTAAATTGATTCATGCTCACTTAGCATAAAGTCACATCCAGCAGGAGGGGGACGAGTCCTGCTGGTGCACACCTGGCAGTGCCTGTGGGCTGGATGGAGGCCGCATGGTCCCTGGAAGCCTACGGCAGACCGTCCTTTGGGCTCAGGGGAGTGATGAGGGCGGGACCTTGAAGGGTAAATGGGATGTTCCAGATGGAGAAGGGGGTTGGTAGTGGGATAGGGGGAGGAGACAGAATGAGGAAATGAGGACAGAAGAGAACTTCTCTAATGTTCTGACACTGAACCTACACATCCAATTGCCTCTCTCCTGTCACAGAGGAGGAGGGGCTCTCCTTTTTAAGATCCCGCCCCTCCGCGCACACACACCTGTCCTCGGCCTTCTGCACCTTCTGGTTGTCTCCTCACTCGCTGGCTCTGTTCCAAGCATCTCTTGTCACTTAATAATGCTGAAGTCTTCATCGTCTTAAAGCAAACCAACACCAGCCAGGACAAACGTCGGGCTACCCTCGTCTGCTTGCCACCCTTTCTTCCTCACCCCTCACTCATGGCCCCTCAACTCACAGTGCTCTGGTTTCCTCACCCAACACAGGGCAAAAGCAAGTCTTCTGGAAGGAAGGGGAGCTCAGCGGTTAAGAGCCAGAAGGCAGGGGGTCTGAGTCCCAACTCTGTGATTTCCGTGTTCTGTGACCTAAGCCAAGCTGGTAGCAAAACTTTTCTGGCTCTTACTTCCCTAATCTGTAAAATGGGGATGTTGTTTTTGAGAATTAAGTCAAAATTGCACATGAACATACAGCACAGAGCCTGGTATACATTAAGGTGCTCCATATCTGACAGCCAGTAATGCCTACGGCCTTCTCTGCCAATCCTTTTGTTCCTTTTTCTCCTGACTTCTTTCAGCAGCTGGCACGGCTGACTCTTCCCTCCTTCCTGAAACGATCCCTCTCCTTGACTTTGTTCTGTGTTGTCCGCCTTCCTAGTTTTCCCCGTGCTTCTCTGGACTCTGCATTTCCCCCCCAGTTCCTCTCTGGCTCCTGCCCCCTGCTGGTCCCTGGGATGCTGTCTTCAGGGTCAGTCTTCAGCCCTGTACTGGGCTTTCTTTAACAGTTTAATTTCCAAATGGAACTACAAATTAACTAGTTAAGTTTCTTTTTTTTTTGAATTTTTTTCATGTTTATTTATTTATGTTGAGAGAGAGTGAGAGAGAGAGCATGAGCAGGGGAAGGGCAGGGAGAGAGAGGGAGAGAGAGAACCCCAAGCAAGCTCCGCACCGTCAGCGCAGAGCCTGACCTGGGGCTCGATCTCATGAACTGCGAGATCACGACCTGAGCTGAAATCAAGAGCCAGACGCTCAGCTGCCTAAGCCACCCAGGTGCCCCTCTTTGGCAGTACAAAAATCACAAATCCACGTGCCTGTGATTTGTGACACTGATGTCTCAAGCTCAGCACATAAGAAATCGAAGGCACTGTTGCTCAGTAATCTGTTCTTGTCATGTCTGCCCTCTTTCAGAGGATAGCACCATATCCATCTATCTGGTTGTCCAAACCACAAAACCGGCTAGAGATGGCAAATAAAACGGCAAAGGAGGAGCGTGTAGATTTGTCCAAAGAAAGACTGAATGAAATCGCTACTATTTTATTTTTAGCATTCATCTGGGCTGGCCTCCACACTGAGTGCTTTACGTATATCTCCTTTTATCCTCTCGACCTCCCACCCATAGGGAATTTAACTTCACAGGCATGTCACTGAGGTTCCAAAAGGGTTAGTCCCTTGACGCCTCCCCTCGCTCATCTACATGGGAAGGATGGTTTCCACTCAAATGGTTTCCAAAGGGAAGGACACTTCCTAAAGCCTCTTAGCCTCTTGCCTCTCCCCACAGGGGAGATGGTGTGACTTATCTGCTCACTGGGTTGGGGGATATGACAAACTCGGGTGACTCAGTCCCATCCCTTCTCTTCCTCCCAAGGGCACATCTGAGGCAACCACGTGGGGGAACCAGGCCTGTTCCCTGCTGCCGGAAGTGGGCAGTTATGTCTAATTCTGGGGTGTATTACTAATAAATGCATTGTTACTGCTCATCCTGTCCAGCCTTCAATTCAGGCTTCATCAGCAAAAAAGCTGACACTCTGATCATCTTTCCTTTATTTCATTTATTTCATTCCTTATGCGTTAAAAAAAAATGTTATGCTCTTTAATTTGTTTATTCCATCTTTCTCTTCCCCCTCCCTGGACCCTCAGGACCCCTATTGGTTTTTTTTAATAATTTTTTTAAACATTTTATTTTATTTTTGAGAGAGAGAGAGAGAGGAAGAGAGAGTGTGAGTGGGAGAGGGACAGAGAGAGACAGAGAGGGAGACACAGAATCTGAATCAGGCTCCAGGCTCCGAGATGTCAGCACAGAGCCCGATGCGGGGCTCGAACTCACAAATGGTGAGATCATGACCTGAGCCGAATTCGGACGCTTCACCGACTGAGCCACGCAGGCTCCCCATCAGGACCCCTAGTGTTAAAAAATAAGAGCGGCTAAAGCAGAGACAGACAAAATAGGGAGTAAAGGGCATTTCCAGCTGTGTGTCACTATACGTTAGCATGTGCGCTAAGGATATGGAAAATAAACTGACGTGTGACCGAGATGAGAATTCACGGTGGTGAGTTACTATCTTGTCGTCTCAGCACTGACTCACGTCTCTCAATTGTTCATTTTGGTTTTGCAGAAGTGTCTGTTGGCAGAATGCCAGTGGGACCAAGAAAGCCCAGGGTGTACCCGACTAGAGTATATTACTGCTGGCGTCATTGGTTTTCCCACCTCTGTCTCCCGTTTTATAAAGTTAACACGAGACTTATCTAGAAGAAGAAAAATAAACTGCCAGCTCAAGACATCCAACATAATATGCGTGTTAAACAGCTAAGCTGTAAGTATCTCAATGTCAAAATATTTCAATATTATCACAAAAAAATAGACAAAATATTAAAAACCTTAACATATTTCTTTTCATGTATCTTCAAACGTAATAGTTCCTATTTCGCCTCTCTTTGAAATTCAAGTCTCATCCCATCATGGCTATTTTTATTTTTAAATGTATGAGAAGCCTAAGGCAATTTTCCCGACTCTCAAAAACACAGACAGATCTCAGCCTTCTTGTGATGGGGAGGCACAGAGCCAAGCCACAGAAACGACAAGGAGCACTCATGATCAGTGATGGAACCAGGCTGTCAGGTGCTTTTGGCCTCAATGTTCTCTCATCTACCAATGAGTCACTTGGGCTGGTTGTGCTCAGGTCTCTTTGAACTTGGAAATCCTGTGCTTTAAAAAAAAAAAATTTTTAATGTTTATTTATTTTTGAGACAGAGAGAGAGCATGAATGGGGGAGGGTCAGAGAGAGAGGGAGACACAGAATCCGAAGCAGGCTCCAGGCTCCGAGCTATCAGCACAGAGCCCGATGCGGGGCTCGAACTCACAGACCATGAGATCATGACCTGAGCTGAAGTCAGACGCTTAATGAACTGAACCACCCAGATGCCCCGGAAATCCCGTGCTTTTAATTTTCAGTTGATTGAAATCAAGTTAATCTTTCAGAGTAGACCTAGAAGGTACTGGAATGAATTGTTAATTTTGTTGGACACGGATTTAAAAACAAATGGTTTGGAAGGAAGCTATTTATGCTATATTAAACTTTGTGTAAAAATAATCACTGCCATTGCAAGAATTTTATCTTTTTCCAAAACCACTAAGAAGGAAAAAAGTGCATTTCAGTTGCATTTCAAATTCTTAGTTCCCCTGCCATGCCATGGCTGAAATGTTAATAAAAAAGAAGAAAAAAAGAAGAAAAATAAAAGAATAATAAAGAGTATGAAAAAAGCCCTCAGATTACATAAAAATTACTGTTGATTCCCTTTTCATTTCTACTTGGTCCACAAATGAAGATGTTTTTATATTATGGTGCCTGGGTAGAATTTGACCACCAAGAAAAACAGACACAGAACCTTTGTATTAGATTTGTGTTCTAAAACTACTCCATTAAAACAGAGTGATGGAAATGGCAATGTCTCCACACGGTAGACAGAAAAGCAACAATTTCCTAGCCAGTCTCCCTGTTTCCAGTCTGTCTCCATGCTC